TTCAAAATGATACTCCTTGAGAAATGATACTCCACACACAGTGACCTTCAGCCCACAGTGGTTTTCCCCACAGTGATACTCAGAAAAACTCCCTGTCGACTGAAGACATTTGGGTCTATCTATAGTCACGTGGCTGTTCTATCGACCCCCCCCCCACCTGTAGCCTAAGACAGTCGTGTCTATTTATAGTCACGTGGCTGTTCTACACACCCCCCACTGGAGCCTAAGACATTCGCGTCTATTTATAGTCACATGACAGGCGCTCGGCCGTTCCATCAAGCTGGCGACCCCCCCGTGCAGCCCAGGGGTACGGTGACCTTGTGGATCTCCCTCACGCCCACCCGTAAGTGCTCATCTACGTGGCCGCGGAGGGAGGAGGGGCGGGGGAAGACAAAGGGGTAGAACTCATACAGCTGCTCACAGTCGATGGAGGCGATGTTGAAGAAGTAATTGTTCTTATTCGTCTTGTGCACGTACTCAGGGGTCACGCACTTGTGCTGGTCATGTGACTTGTGCACGATCAGGTCAAGGTTACAGGGCACGGGCACCATGTGACCTTCGAAAGGTCGTAGCTGGAGAGGAAAGATGTCCCTTTTCTCGTAGACCAGGTCGTGTTTTAAGCCCTTGGTCAAGCTCCAGATGTGAGTCTCGTCGTCCATGTAGAAAAAGATGTCGATGTTTGGGAACTTGAAGGGTTTGTTGGGGAAGGCGGTGGCTCGGTCCATGTAAAACTTCCACTGTGAGTCCGGCGGTGTGTATAAAGTGAATCCCGCGATGTTCCCCAGCACGTTCCTGATCTGAGGCCACTGCCGTGCGCTCATCACCACGTCTATGTCGTCATCCCAGGGGATGAGGGCGTGGTGACGTAGCACGCCCATCAGGGAGGCCTCCAGGATAAAGTAGGTCAGCCCCGCCTCCCGGCACGCACGGTGGAAGGTGGAGAAGGCGAACAGGAGGTGGGCTTTTTCCCGCGGGTTCATGAGCGGTTGGAAGGTGTCCAGGAGTTGAGCTCTCTCCTTCAGGACGTTCTCGGCGGAGGGTTGTGTTTTCAGCTCGGTGTAGTGTCGCCAGAACTCTGGGTAGGCGTTCTGTTGTTGTGCCACGTATGTGTCGTACTGGCTGAGGTTTACCTGTGGGGGGTTTTGGGTGTTATGTCGTAATGACACTGTCAGAGACGTCCATTTGTCTAAGACACACACTCTTCTCCTCCACTACGATTGGCC